TATCATGGCTTATTTTGAGAAGCCCACGTATAAAGTATAAACTAAATTAAGCGAAGTGCTCTAGGTACATAGCGACGTATTTAATGTGTTTGCTTGGTTCAATTTAAAATCAATTAATTGACTTATTCCATAAATTACTTATATATATATATATATATATATATATAGGTTAATCGAATGTGTGTTTCATTTGAAAAATTTCGGGGAAATATAACCAAAATAAACTAATTTATCGCAATGCTTTCATTTATTTGGTTGATGACAACAGGCCGCAATTAAGGGGAAAACACAAAATTTATAAACATATTTACCAATCTATTGTCAACTGGATGACAGCAACAGAAATCAGCAACAGATTGAAGAGCTTGTAATTCAAAGTAAATAAAATAAGAGAAGAAAAAAAAAAAAAAAGAAAAGAAAAGAAAAAAAATCTACGGAAAATTTGTAACTAGTTGATGAGGTTCATTGTCCACTGTATGATTTTAAGCAAGCGATGTGCTGGAAATAAGAAGAATAAAGAACGCAGACATTGTGTCTTTGCTAGTGATGGATGGATGGATGGATGGATGGATGGATGGATGGATGGATGGCTAGATGGCTGGGTGGATGGATAGATAAATGAATGAATGAATGGGTGAGTGAGTGAGTGAGTGAATAACAAGATACCGGGACAGACAATTGGATAGACAGATAGATGGGAGGAGGTTTTACATACTGCAAAAGATGGGTGCGTCTATTTCACTCTTTGTATGAATGAACGAATGAATGAATGAATGAAGAAAACTTGTGGATGCTTTATAGTTTTTAGCGGTTCTAGCAGCACACAAAAGCAACACAATAGCAAGAACAATAACGTTAAACGGCAGAACACATGCATGCAATGAAAAATAATCACCATCATTATTTATTTTACTTTAAACATCAATCTTTGTTGCTCACTTGATTTTTTTTGTTTTTTTGTTTTTTTTTGTTTCTTGCTTGCTTTGTTTTATGTTGGAATAATCTTCTGTAGCGGCGAGTGAATAACTGACTGTTGGCATGATTATTTCCAGCCCTATAGCTAACAGTTGGCAGCAGCTGTCAGCTTATAAAACGCGAATACATCGCAAATATATGTTTATGTGCTAGTGTCATGATGATATACAGACTAACGTGACTGATGCTTGTTGCCTGTCTCGTTCTCGTCATCATCATCGTCATTATTATTATCATTATCATCATTATCGTCATCGTCATCGTCATCGTCATCATCATCATCAAAATCAACATCATCCGTTATCATCACAATCTCAACACTATTTACTATTTACACCACCACCAGCACCGCTATCATCATGGGCAGCATGAGCATAAACTGGTCTTATGGTATTGAAGCGCAAGTCGCCTTTTGTTATATCATTGCGCCGTTCTTGTTGCCGTCTACGTCATTGTCAGCCGACGTTTGCCGTCGCCCATCTTCACCCATCATTATTCGTCGTTGTTTTTGTATTCATTCTCGTCGTCATCGTTGCCGTCTTCGTTGCCGTCGTCGTCGTCGTCATCGTCATCGTCATCATCATCATTACTGTTAACATCAACATCACATGTCAGTCCTGCATTCTAGACTGTCGACTTTTGACGTTTTCTGCAATTAACACGCACGTTAAGGATAACAAATCACATGTACACTAACACACCAACAGACGACACAGTGATGCATATGCACAGTGACGTACAAATCCAGCAAAAAGGAAAAAAAAAAAACAAGACTTTTGAACATAAATTCTTTTTTTCCTGCGCCCCCTTCCTTGAGATTACATTCACATTTAAGAGAGTCTTTCGCACACAGCACAGCACTGACGATGGTGGTATTATATACGTTTTGGTTGTTGGTGTTGCCGTTGTTTTTGCTATGCTATTTGCTCCATCATTTCATTCGCAAGTCATTCAAGTCATTAATTTTCGTGACCCCACACGTTTTCTCTTTCATTTCTTTTTCTTTTCTTTTCTTTTCTATTTTATTTATTTATTTATTTTTTTTTGCATTTCATTTTCTTCCCTTTATTCGCTTTCTACGGACTTTTCATATATTTTTTCTTTTTTCGTATTTAAGCCGACTTGAGGGTCGTTTGTTATCCCTAATTTCGAATTTCTTTGTGTGTATATGTGAAGTTAACAACTTCGATTTATTTTCACTTATTTGACTTTTTACGATGACGGGTAAGCGCGCATGTGTATATGTTTCATGTTGAATTATTTTTATGCCAAGTCACTAGAAAACCGATTAATCATTTCACTTTACCATGTTTCCGCTTATGCTTATACGCGCTGCTATTCAAGTATGATGTGCAAATAAATAAATAAAAAACTTGGAAAAACTTTATGTTTGTTCGCCTTTTTCTTCAAAACTCAAACACATTTCTCTTCAATTTCTTTAACAGAAACTATTTTCTAAATCAAATATATGCCGTTTTCATCGATAAGCTCTCGTCGTTTCTGTTCGTGAAATCTTTATGCCATCATTGGAGAGCTTCGGGAATCTATTTTGAAGTCGGATATACATTAGGCAAAGACTTTTGCGGAATGCGGAAACAAATGGTTTTAGTAGACAAAACAAGGTCCAGGCGATGGTGTGGATAGTGTGGAAAGTTTCCCAGCCAAGCCCTCTCATATTTTTCCGAGCTATTGAAGATATGTTCAGTCTGGGATTGTGATAATGTAACACAACACTTTTTACTTTTAATCTATTATCAGAGGATGAGTCCATGTTTTCAAACCTAAAACTACTTGCAATATTATCTCTGAGCAAAGAAATTTTTCTGTAAGACGTTAGGTATTTGCATTCTTGTATTTAATTAAACGAAAGCCCCACAGGTATTAGTTCGATCAGATTCAAGTAATCTGGCGAAATAAATCATAGAAATATTTAGACATTATCGCTGATTGCTGAAGAATCGCAGGCTAGCAGGATTCTCATTGAGATATAAGATGACTAAGATAGACTAAAATGGCTATCCTGAGGTACACTTAAGAAAATGTACGCCATTGGAGAGATAAGACTTGAAGACTTGCTTTAACAAAGCGATCTTCGTTTTGCCGATGCACGATGGAAATCCAATTCAACTCTATTTTAGAACTAATAAATTCTGGCAGTTTTCAGAAAACACTTCTTTGCAGGACTCTGCTAGAAAATCTGTTGAGGGAGAATGACTTTTGATGAGCCAATATTGGCGAGGGAATAACATGGGTGAATCATCGGCTAATGGGATACCAAGCGAATGACCATGCCAGGAGAAGAAGGGACGGAAGATAGCCGCTTTGCAGCTATACATTAATCCTGATAAGAATTATATGCAGATTGTTGGCGCACGTGGTCAAGATATATTTCGAAATTCTAAGGCATTGAGGGACTTTCTTCCTTGAAATGATTCATCGTCCTGTTGTATTGCTGTATTGCTGGCATAATTTCCGCTAGAATTCCGCGAAAGGTGGAGCTCAAAGATCAGAAACACAAGACGTTGAGTAGTCTCTGCTTTTAACCTTTAAGTTGACAAAGTTATTAGAGCTTTTAGTGACTTTAAGTTGGTCCGCGATTTCGATTCAACTTTCACGGCAAACTCGATTAAGGTGATGAGTTGGGGTACAGCTTAGCCGAGGTTGTAAGTCTCACTAGTGCCAAGTCGACGGAGGCGCGTTCGAATCTCCGTGCGTTAGAGCGTACTTTGTAAGTATATATATATGTGTGCGTAGTTACTTAGGCTTATCTTGGCTTATTACTACTTGAAGCTTACGACTATTGTGTACCGTTCAGTTCTAACTTTGCTAATTACTTCTAATCGACGTTTGTCGCTATAAATGAGAGTTAGAGTTAAGTTTGCTTTAGGTCTTTTTTTTACTTTGAACTGAAACTGTTGACGTTGAACTTTGTAGTGCCCGCCGCAAACGCAGCGATCACATATCTGAAAGTGTGGGCCGCTACGAAGGAATTTTTCTGACGATGTTTCGTGATGATGTATGAAGTCCGTCGGCAGTATCACTGTTTAATAGAAGAGCAATCGTATTACGGCAACTTCTGGTGGCATCTGCATAACCGGCATGAGACTCTACAGATCGTAAAGGTTGACATCAGAGATTACCTCGATTAAGGCGATATAGGTGAATAATAGAATTAGGGCGAAGGACGTAGACATCACGAAATCAAATATGCCAGAATGATTGCCTATACGAAAGTGGCCGAAATATCCAGTGAAGGTTACTATGCTAGCAGAAAATCAAAGCTTGTAACGTAATCTAAGCACAAAACGCTCGTAAGGTAGTAGCAGAAGTTTTTACATTCTTGGAAGTAAAGAATCGAAAAGGGATGAAAATATTAACTTTTTTCTTTTCTTTTTTTTACGACAAATCTGATAAAAGATCGGCATAAATTTTATCTTTCAATTAACGGGCATCTATTCATTCGTTTGACATACTTATGAACAAAGGATGAGGCAATACAATGCATAACGATAGGCTCTTGGCACGATTTCCCATTTCAGAAGAAAAAGAAGAGCAAACAACTTCGCGGTATAATCTATCTATTAATGCGTACAACAATATTTCCATTTTCTTTGCTTGAGGAGATAACTTCAAAGTGCTTCAAATGTCCCATAATCCAATAAATCGGGAAAGTACCCATGCGCCGCATGGGTTACTGCTTCTTTGACTCCTTCGTGGAGCGTGGGAATAAACAAAACTACTCAACACAATTCGAGAAAGTTACTTTTCATCAATAGAATATACTAACCAGCTATCTCTTCCTATTTTCAAAGCAAATATCAAAAAATACATTCGTAAAAATTTTTCCATTTTTGTCATTAATGTCATCCATATTTTTGTAACAATTCATATAAATTAGTCGCACGTAACCTGAGATACAGAGAAATTTGTCACGTTTAGCTCAAATTTCAAATTTCCCGGACAATCATTACACGCTTCGAATTCGCATAAGTCGAACTGTTTTCAAAAAAAAATTAGATTCAAAGATGGCTGCTAATGCAATTAAAAAAGTTATGCCTATGTTGGATCGTGTTTTGGTACAACGTGCCGAATCAATGGCTGCAACTGAAGGCGGTATCGTGTTGCCGGAAGGTGCGCGTAGCAAAATGATGCAGGGCACTGTCATTGCCGTGGGACCGGGAGCTCGAAACAATAAAAATGAACATATCACTCCTTTAATTAAGCAAGGTGATCGAGTTTTATTGCCCGGATATGGCGGTACACGAGTCAAAATGGAAGATGGCAAAGAATATATTCTCTTCCGTGAATCCGACATATTAGCAAAATATGAATAGAAATCTTCTTATGCCGTTCAAGGACAACTTTGCCACCATTCATTCATCTCTTATCATACTTATCGTTTTAGATTATCTTTAATGTAATCGTCTGTTGTTTTTTTGCCCCTTGCAATCTCTACGAATTTTTCAAAAAATATGATGTAATTCTGTTGAATTTTCTTATGCTGTTTACAATTTTAATGGACATAAACTCAGTTGATTTCCTAAAACATTCGCGATGGGTAACAAGAAATCAACCGAGTGGATGTTGGTTTGTTTTGTTATTCTTCCTTCCCGAGTTAATTATTAATTTAATGTATTCTTCGGGCCTACAGGAACCTGAAGAGTGATTGATAGTCATCCGTCATAATCTTAACGCTAATCGAGCAACTGTTGCGAAACATTTCTGAAAGCGGATAGAGAGTGATGATGGCTGCAGATTGCAGAGCCAATGGTAGTGTTAGTATATTCTCATAATACTAACTACAAATGGAAATATCTGAGTCCAGTTAGAATGTCATGGAGCATGCGAATAATCCCATGGGTAGATAATATTATATAGAGAAGAGGAAACCTAAAGCATCTCTCACTCTCTCTCGGTGAACCGTCTTCTCAAAACTATGGTAGCAAGTAGTGAGGATGAGCTGGACTTGACGATCGCGCTGTGTGCGTGCGATAAGGTTAGCAACTGGGGAGTATTCAGTTATATCTGGGTACATCAATTGACCGCAACGTTTTGAGGTTTTCGGTGTACTGTTCATTGTTACGTATTTACTATAAGTAGACAAAGATTTTAAAAATTATACTTCTTTTCTTAGTTTAAAGACCGTTCTTCTCCCGTAGTCAGTATTCGCGTAGTGAAATCTCAGTGCGGTAGAGCAGGGAATATTCAATCGATAAAGGCGTAATACCGATTTGGCACGCAACCGCGACGTTGCTTCTCTTCCCTACGTGTTTCTCTTTCCTCTCGCTTTTTTCCGAATCTCACTAAGCTGAAAAGGTGGCATCCGCTAAGTTATCGCTCATATTGAGTAAGGCCACCCTTCGAAAGATTGACTTTGCCAATCGTACAAACAAACCCACTCGGAACATTGAATGCGATATCACTTCTAACTCTGTGTCAATGCTTAAAATTCTATGAAACGATAAGGTAGAGGTTAGCTAGCGCTAATTGTGAGACATTATTTTTACGGAAAAATAGAAAGTTCACGCGGATATATAACACTTCACTTAATAAGTACGTAAGATGGCTTACAGAGAGATAAATACTGACAAATTCATAGTTGCGGTTGATTGCTTTATCGTCTATTTTTTGTTTAATTGTTTAGCTTGTTTGGTTGAATAATTATCGGAATCTCATGAAAGTATGACACATGATGGTTGGTACAGTGCCCGAATTCATCGATAGTTGCGACGAGCGATATGTCATCCTATAAACTTATTGAGTGCAATGTTAGTTGTCACAAAAACCTATCTGCAAACGAACTATCAAGTCTGGCACCAACGTTAGCATAGCTCTTATCCCCAAGATATTTCAAATAAAATATTCATATATATATACATGTATACCAAAAAAAAAAAAATAAATAAATAAAAAGCAAAAGTTTGCTATAAAGCAAGTGAGACGAAGGCATCGGTGATGAAGAGTCGAGCGTATATATTCGTCATTTGTTAGCTATACTTATAGACATTCCAAAACGTAGCAGGCCATGTCCGAACTTAATGTGCCGTCAAGCACCGATATACCATCACTTCACTTCTGCTGCCTACTGTCAACCACAACCTCAATAGCAGCAGCTGAGCGTGTTTGCAAAAAAAAAAAAAAAAAAAAAAAAACGAAAATGCAAGGAAAATAATCGTTCGCATAAAGCGAAAATTTGTGTAGGGAAATGTCAACCAGCTTTCGATATTTTATGGGGGAAGATCCGCCCTGTGGAGCCGGTATCGTAGTTAATGTGGATATTAAGTGGAATAGTGATGTAAAATTACACACAACAAATATCTTGATAGCTATGCATTTAGATATAAAATAAACGTTTTATACGTATTGCGTAACCAACAAACAAACAATGGCTTCTTTCTTCTATGTCGTCTTCATCTGCTGCCAAGTGCCATGTAAACTGTTGTAGATGTTGTTGATGCCAAGCCAGTGAGTGAAAATGCTCAGCGGGCGGTACCATTTACTAAGTGTCACAAGCAAAGCTTAAGCTATTGTCAACATGACTATATATCCTGAAACAGAAATAACAATAAAAACAACATCGCTGCTGCTAAAGAAATGCTTCACTGATATTTTGTGCGTGTATGTTGTTGTTGTGGTGTATGATAGAAAAAAATAAAAATAAAAAAATAGGGTAACCGGTAGTTGTCAGAGAACGCATGTGACAACATGGACAAGATGAGAAAGCAGAAAAGCGAGAACAAATTTCTACACACAATGACAAGAAACCGGAAAATATGTTTTATTGTTTGCATCCGTTTCAGAATCATTCAAACATGAAATTCCCTGGCATATAATTGATGATGATTTAACCCCAAATAACAAAATAATTTGTATGTGAATACAAATAGCGGCTGTGGTCCAAAAGCCAAAAGTTTCTCTAACGGTGCTAAACCGCACAAATTTAAATTTAATAATATTTTGGCAAATATTTGTCTGCCTGTGAGACCATAAGACATTCGTGGCATAATATATTTATTTTCGCTTAGTTTTCGTTTTATAGTTCTTTGAATAATTTCATATTATTATTATTCTTTTGTCAAATGCTTTCCATTACACCCCCTTCGTCGTATTCGAAATGTCTTTAAATATGATTTTTGAAAAAAGTCGATTTTCACTTTCAGCCTTTTTCTCACTTTAGAAACGCTGCAGGGAAGGCAAAAGGTCCTTGCTCTTTATTTTGCTTCTTTGTTTTTTTTTTTAACTGCCAGCCAGATGGTCCTACTAACGACAGTAGTCGTTCTGTGTGTCGAAAATGTAGTCACTGCAGTTAGTACATCTCACTGTCAAAATATTGCATTTGCCAGGGCATTTACGCGTACATACAATCCTGTCGTAAACTGACAACAAAAATAGTTTCAATTCTTTTCTTATGTGTTGCTCTGTGAAGGTAAACGAATGAATATTTTATAAAATGGGGTGGGTGGTGAAGAAAGTGAAATGAATAAAAGAGAGCCTAAGAAAAATGTTAGTCAAAACAACGCCTATTCGCGTTTTCCGAATAAGGTTCTCGGCTATTGAATGATGGGAGAACATATCGCCTTATTCCGAAGAACTATCGGTTTGACTGGAGAATGGATTTGACATGGGAGACCTACCTTAGGAATATCTGGGCATTTAGTGGCTTCATTTTTTTTTTTTTTTTGAATATGACTAAGGCATGTCCAATATGACGTTTCTTGTGCGTGTAACAAGTTGATGGCTAGTGGTGGATGCGTCGGACTAGCAGCTTAGTAGATGTGAGCCCAATCACTAAGACCAAGTACAGTCAAAGCTGCCAACACCACGTGATTCTTACTTACCCGGCGGAAAACATGAACTTGCTTTAGGAAAGCGAAGTTTAATTTAAGGAATTAATTTATTTGCTGCTTAAAAATTTTTTTTATATAAAGTTAATCCAGACCCCAGGTGAAGGTTGCTGCATCAGGTACAGAATAACGAGAAACTTAGATAGAATCAGCAGAGTGTATTGGTTGCAAAGATTGTTTTGATATTGACGTAAGAGCAGTTGTTTGCCTCCGATAGTCGGTTCAATCCTCTTACACACGAAGAGCACGCACTTAACAAGAAAATACACTTACGCGCGCACAGACTATCGCAGTAAAACTTTGGTGCACGTAACGTAACGTAAAATATTAATTAACAACAGTTTGAAGAAAAGAAAGGCCATGGGTGTGGTCTTAGTGAGACGGAAAATTCACGTGTTGAAATGACAGAGTATCGATGTATTACATAACTAACAAAAAATTTTTCAAGAAGTCACCGGAACCAAAGAGAAGTGATGCGTGCTCACTTCGATGGGGCGAAAAAGTTTGTCATTTTTTCGACATTTTTGTTATTTAATTTTTTTTTTTTTTTTGCTAATTTTGCATTGATGAGAACTTTTGCCAATCGATAATCAATCTGATTAATTTCTATTATGTAAGCACTTTGGCAAATTTTTATATCTACATTAAGTAGTATTTATTTTTCTGTTGAGTGTAAAACCTGCCAAAAAGAGACAAAGTGCCTGTGAGCGTAAATAAATTGGAAATGTCCTTTGCCCTGGCACGCTCTTCCATTTTAATATTAATTTTTTCTTTAGACTGGCAGTCACCAATGTCGACACAATAGCATGCTATACATACCTCTCTGTATATGCATTCAATTTAAACAACCAAGCAAACAAAAATGCTTCAATTTAAAAAGCATAGGAGATGTTATGGGTAAGTGTATGCAATATTTTTCACGCTTCTTATGTTGGCATGTTGTTGGTGTTGTCAGTTAAAGCAATTTATGTCAGAGACCGTACGACAGATGCCAGTAGTTGTATCAAAAACAGTGTTTGTTGTATAACTGTAAAGGAATGCAGTGCAAATGAAAACAATGCTACGTTTCGTTATCCTTATGGGCTTTTTATGTACAGGTTATCGTAGCAAGAGTATACCAAAGGGGCAAAGAAAAGGATGGCAAAAGATATTCTAGACTAGAACTACCTCACTTACATATATCGTTTAGTTATAATATTATCAACCCTTGATCTGCTTAAATGCGTCAAAGAGAGAGTCACAGAAAGAGAGAGAGAGAGATGGAGAAAAAAACACAATGAGTAGAAAAGAGGAAAAATAAAAAGGGTAGCGAAGAAGAACGCTGGGATATACAAGAATATAATATACATATATATATACATATATATATATATATACATATTAACCTTTAACGAATTCACTTCTATTTTCTATGATTTTATTATGGCTGCTTTTGTACAAAGGGACGAGACGCCCACTCATGCACAATAATATCCAAACACAGAAAATGT